AGCGCCCATACTGTGAGTGCACTTCACTTTCGCTCTCATAACTCAATTAACTTATAATTTTGAAACACAAGTGTTTGTCGAGGAATGGGAAGGGATTACATGAAGAGATAAATTTACACACAGAGAGAGAGAGAGAGAGAGAGAGAGAGAGATAAAGGGCTGACACAACCAGAGCATTGATTGTCGATATATTGTGGCGAAAAAGGCTCTCAAAACATGTAATGCCTTTTTATGGCAGGGAATGGTAGGGAACGGCAGGAAACGAGCAAATGGTTCGTCCGATTCGCTTGTTTGCCAATAAATAAAAAGGAGGAAAAGGACGGGCAAACTGTGCGGCACAACACTAAACACTTAACGCTAGAAAGAAAAAATGTAAACCAAAGCGTCCAGAAATAGATACACATAACTTATTATGACTACAAAAAAACATGCATAGCGTGTGCGGCAAAACATGAATCAGTATAGCTATGGCACTAACCGGTGACCGGCATCACAGCAACCACTGGACCAGTGTTTGTGTGTTGATTGGCGGCCGCGTTCACCGACGGCGACGACAACTTCACGCCCGTGACTGACGACGGCTGCGGCGGACTATTGACTGCTGTCGTATGACTGAGCGCTGATTGACTAACGAATGGGGCGCTAATCGTACCGCCACTGGCGGTGGTCACTGTCGTCGTCGTGCCGGCCGTGTTGTGCGCCGACAATAAGGCGCCCGATGTGGTCGGTTCGGGCGAAGTGGTGGTTCCGGGGGTGACAGCGATGGGCGCGGGTGGAGCGCAACGCGACGGTGTGTTGGTGTTGATTGAGGCCAACTTCATGAGCGCCCGGGCGGACACATTCATCTCGACAAAACTGATGGGAAAGATGCCGATTCTGTCCATGAGTTTGCCTTCGGCCCAATTCTCGTCCACCCGACGGATCACTGTTATCACGTCGTTCTTCGCGAACGACAGGCAGTCCTTCTCCTCCACATCAGTGACCCGGAAGTCGTACAAAGCCTTAAGAAGTAGACAACACATTGAGATGTTATGATAAAATACAGCATCAATTGTGATCTAAATTTAGCGTCAATTCTGTCGCTAAAACGACTACTTTTTTTGTGCAATTCCTATGAATTATAACACTTATACTGTACTGAATGTCATATATTTGTGTTTAATGTATACACAAAAAGTGTTGTCAAATAAATCCTAATAAAATATTTGACAAAATATATATTAAAACCTAGATTTAGAGTACAATATATGCCATATATTAATAATGATTTATCAGCAGAATTGTGTTTAATGTATACACAAAAAGTGTTGTCAAATAAATCCTAATAAAATATTTGACAAAATATATATTAAAACCTAGATTTAGAGTACAATATATGCCATATATTAATAATGATTTATCAGCAGACATTCCTCTCATATTAACTTATATTATGTATTCATTGAATTTTTTCAGAGTATTTGATGTTTGCTTTTAGTAGAAAAATATAATATTTTTCATTTTTCATGAGAAGCGTTAAATGTTTGCCTAAAAATGTTTTATAAGTTATAATAAAATCTAAACTCAATTGTGTATAAATTTATTCACAAAACTTTTGTTTGAAATCACATTAAAATGTGGTGTAAATTCATTTCGAGAATACAATTATTGTTTAAACAATGAATTCAATTAAATGTCAAAATAATTATTATAATTCAATGAATTAATTAGCGCTTCAATGGAAACTAATTAAGACATTAAAATCTATTGGGAATCCAAGAAATAAATTCTCTATATTTTATCAGTAAATCATTATTTGTTTAATTAATTAATTTCCTAAGTATTCGCCTAAATATTCAATTTTTATTAATTGCAAACCGTTTTTACTATCAATTGTGTGAGCGTTTGGCAAACAATGAATTATTTAATCAAATATTTAAATTCATTAATTCAATTCAAACCTAAAATATATACTATATTTAACGTTAATGTAAATAAAAACCATTAATTATTATGACATTTCATGATCTGATATATGAATTTAAATGATTAAAAGATTTTTCATTCAAAATGATAAATATTTAATAAAATGTAAACCTTTTCACACCATTAGAAAAGTGGTTTAATATATAAACCTATTTTTGAAAACATTTACAAAATTAATGGCAACTAATTTAAACAATCGATTTAAAGATCAATACAAATACTCTATTATTTCCACACAATAATAACAAATACACACTTTTATAATGGATTCTCTAAATCATTATAAACTAAACTGCAGTATAATATAAATAATTAAATAAAAGCCAAACATTAAAACTCAATTATAAGTGCAAAGAGTTGTTTAAATTGCATAATAATATCAATGATGGAAATACTGGTAATTCTGTGTTTAAGTTAATCATGAAATGTGGAGAAAAATCAAAACAAAAACCTAAAAAACAAATTGAAATAAAATTTTAATCTCAATCACAGACACACAACATATAAAAACAAGAGTAAATTCATTTAAACACTGAGAAAAAGCCCCGAATTCACAGCCAAACGGTATGCGAAGTCATTGAGAAAGTCATTGAAACTTATAAATGATATGAGAATAAAAGAAAGAAAGAGATCTACAAAATAAATACTCAAACATTGAGCCCGAGATAAAAGTCTACAAAAATATAAACTTAAAAATCGTTACGATTTTTTAAAACAATTGAATATAAAACTCGATAAGTATTCGCAAACATGAAAACATTATTCAATGAAATATTTGTTCCCAAAGATTAAAAAGTAGAAAAACAATGGATAGAAAATTCCTATAAGGAATTCGAGTAAAAATAATAATATAATACATCTAATAGTCTGAGAATTTCCAAATCGGTGCGAGTTTTGTGACAATTTCCCATAAATATGGCTACAAAACGGCTGGTTTAGCACATCTTATAGTTGGACTACAAATTGTCCAAATATTTAAGGGATAAAGAGCTGATACATGGATAACAAAACAAACACTTTCTTTTCTCAGGCAATAAATTGCAATCATTGTTAACATAATAAGCAATTCCTCTGGGAGTCAGTACTTTGTAATGCAATTTTTAAGCTCTACTTTAAAAACCCTATGCTATTCGTTAAGCAACAGAAAATAATGATTTATATAATGAATAACTAATATCGGAAAATAATAAGTAATTTAAATCACAAGTATTGTGAATAAAACAATACCCGCAAAACACTGTACACTTGTGTTATGCATTCAATGAAAAGCTATTAAATACTAATTGAATAGCAATTGAATAACAATAATGAGTGCAAAAACAATTACCTTGCATTGTGGGGGCACAGGCGACGGGGGCGGCACTAGTACCTGGACATAGCTGGCCGGCAGGAAACCAGATTTGTTATTAAGCTCTCCGTGAAACCAATTTTGATCGATCCGTTTGCGTAATATTATAATATCTCCCTTTTTGAACGATAGATCACTGGAAACAATGCAACAAAAAATACAATTTATTAGATATGATTTACAATTAGACACAGCGTTTCATTCAAATATATTCTATGCATTCAATCATACAATAAATTATTTAATGCGAAAAGTATTTCAATTATTCCTTTCGGCGCATAAACAGAGAAATTATTGGTATAAATGAGATGAATGTCATTGACATTCACAATGAATTATATGATACCCTCATCTCACAGGAAGAGACAGTGAAAAAACAATACATTTGTTTTCGTATATATGAATATTCAATACCAGACAAACACATGCGGTCTCACTCTGGAGAGAGAGAGAGAGAGGGGAGAGAGAGAGAGAGAGAGAGAGAGAGAGAGAGTTAGGATAGGTATGTGTCGTGAGAGTGAATAATTTTATATCATTTATTACATAATAGTATCGCTTTTTCTTATTCTCTCCGCAAATGTGTAGAAAATTATTAAATTATATTCAACTGTCGTTTTGGGAAATAAAATTATGTAACAGTAATCGCAATGGCATTCGTGTAAGCATTTAATGAACACATTCTCGTAAACATTTAATGCACTCAAAGGGAAAAAATAAAAAACTATTTTATAATTATATACACATAATAGAGAGTGAGAGAGAAAGACACAGAATATTCACAAACAAATCGTAAAATGCGAGTCTCTCTCAGAGAATGTATTAAACCTTTTTATATATCACAAAATTATTTGTGAACAAGAATTTTTGCATTCAATTCATCATATGTTTTATGTATACAAAAAGAGGTTCACTGAACTTATTATGAGTGAGAGAGAGAGAGAGAGAGAGAGAGAGAGAGAGAGAGATTTGATGTGCATTTTTGGGCCCAAAGAATATTTAGTCATAAATAATACGAGAGAAAAATTCACGAAAAAGAAACCAAACACACAAAAAAATGTTTAGAAATAAAAGCCTAAAATACCAGTAATTGTATAATTTATAAAATGGATTAACTGTTTTCGTAATAAGTGTTCACATCTCGAGCACACATCGCAACCCATTAGCCCTTAACTCTATCGTTGGGTTAAGGGATGGGCCGGAGATTTATGTTATGAAAAATGGCATTTTCTTCACAAAAAATTATTCCTTTAGTTTTGCTTTTATTTTATGTCTCGTTTTCTTTAGTAATATTTAGTAAATATTAATGCATTCTTATAGAGAGATAGAGAATATAAAACAAAACAAAAACAAGTCCGACGAGAGAAATGTTTCACTCATTTTTCACAACAAAAAACTGAATAAAAAACATACAAAAAATACAGCATCAAAGAGATGTGTTTGTATTTGTTTTGCAAAACATTTTTCTCAACTATAAAATGCAATCATAGCTGTGAATACATATACAGTTATAATTTTAAACGGGGAAAATTGTGGCCTTTTTTCCCTATAGCCTGTGTTATGCATTTCTTATGTATTAGTTTTCTGGTCGACACGAATATAATCGACTGAATATTCTTGTGGGCGATATATATGTGTATATATAATACATGTTTGTATACAACGTCTGAACCTTTTTTTTGTGGGAAATCATAGACGCCTTTAATCTGGAATTTGGTTTGAATAGCATTTCTATGCGTAAACACGACATGAATTCAATTTGAATATTAATAGAAAAACACTGTGAATGTTGTGGTGTAGGGAAGGGAAGGGATGACATATCCCAACACATTGTATATATCATAAACCATGGGATGGTTAGCCGAGAGAGAAAAATATGCACATATTTTTGCCTCTATTTATGTAATCAATCAAATAAACGGACGGCAAATACCACTGAAATATTTCACATCATTTCAGTTTTGCGAGGATTTCCGTTAAGGAAATCAAAAAATTAAACATTAAATTAAAAGAAAAAAGTTTTTTATTCACATTTTATTGATAAGAGAGACCTTTTCTTTCTTCCTATTTCTCTCTCACACTATATTTCAATGCCATTTGGAAATCAAAAATCAATTTTCGTGTATTAATGAAATTAGAAAATGTATGGGAAAATAGTTTTGCTCTCTATTTCACGATCAGAACCAATCATTTATAATATTATACCTGAAAATGTAATTTAAATATTATTATCATTACTTATGATCTGCTTTTCTCGCTCTCCTAGTTATCGACTATTGAGAGAGAGAGAGAGAGAGACTCGTCATATCAGAAGCAAAAATTGAAGGCAATATTTCTCAACAAAATCGAGAGAAAAAACGTAAAAATAAATAACTAAACGAAAGATCGGAATATTCTCATCGACTGGAAAAAACATAAGTAAATAAAAATTTAGTTGATTTTATTTTTTGGTCACAGAAATTATTTATAGAAATATCAGGTATTTTTCGCCTTTTCGTATCAAATTAATAGCCAGTAATTTGTAATTTATTGATAAGGAAAATGTGTTGCGACCAAAAAATTGTATTTTTACTTCAAAAATACTTTCAATTAGATATTGAATAGTGTTTTATAAATGAGGGGACGGGAGGGGAGGAGAGAAGCAGTGATGTTTCTCATGACTTTCTCATAGACAGACCAGACATGCCATTAATGTATACACAAGTAGTAAATGAGAAAATTCATAAGAATTACGTAACAATGAGACACAAAACATAGAGATATAAAACATACGGGTATTACACTAATAATGAAAAGCTAAGCGCAAAGAATAAATTTTAAAACATCTATTAATATACATAATTCTGTAGTTATATTATTGATAGCCTTAACGAGAATTGAGTTTTTAATTCAAAAAAATCAATCAAAAATCGCTTCGCGTCACGACTTATGAGATAGAAATAAGTATTGAATATTTAAATACAAATCAATTGGTATTCAAAAATATAAATCACAGAAAATAAGACATAAAACATTTGATTGATTGATAAAAGCGAGTATTTTTAAGCGTTTATGTAATGATGTTATGTTTTATATATCGTACGAGATATTGAAAATCAATGTCTTATTGAGACAATTATAGCCAACAGAAAGGCAGAGATATGTCTCGAAATTAGAAAAAATCAATTTAATAGTTATTTATTCACACAATTTATGTGAGAAAAGAGAGAGTTATGGCCAGAGAGAGAGAGAGAGAGAGAGAGAGAGAGAGAGAAGTATTGAGTTTTGAGACACAATCCCTTGTGTTTCCAGTAGACATAACACAGGAATTTTGAGTACAATTTATATTAACTCATATAAGACTTC